TCAGTCTGACTCACACAACTTTGATTACAGGTTCAGATGCCTATAGGCATTTACAGGGATGGTAGATAGAAGGGTATCTTTGGTCAGAGAAGGGAGTTGCTCTTGTATTAATCTATTTTGACTTTTTTCTCTACAAGTTTGTGTTGACAGTTGTAAATTTCTCCTTTTTAAATTTTTTTATTTTTAATTTTTTGTAAAGATTGGGTCTTGCTATGTTGCCCAGGCTGGTCTCAAACTTCTGGCGTCAGGCGATCCTTCTGCCTCAGCCTCCCAAAGTGCTGGGAGTATAGGCATGAGCCACCATGCCTGGCCAAAATTGCTCCCTTTTAATAGCTTGTTATTATCATCTGAGCTTCTTCTTTTTAATTAAAAAGATTGGAATATGAAGTTAACACATGCTTATTGTAAGCATTCAAAAATTGAAGCAATAAGAAATGTACAAAGTAAAAAGAGAAAGTCCATTCCTATAGTCTCAGTCCATTTCCCAGGGGAAAGATTGTTAACAATTTGATATACCTCTTTCCTGACTACGTATGTGTGTGTGCGGCCATGTGTGTTTATATTACTTTTATGACTTTATATGACTTTTATAAAAACAATATCATATTGTATATTATTATTCTTCAACTTTCTTTTTATTTATTTTTTTCTAAAAAGTATCATGGGCATCCCTCCTTGTCAGTTAATATATATCTACCCTCCCACTCTCTCCCTTCCACCCTTCCTCCCTCCCTCCCTCCCTCTCTCCCTCCCTCTCTCCTCCTCCTCCTCCTCCTCCTTTTTCCTTTCCTCCTCCTTCTTTATTTTCCATTAGGTTTTGACCTGAGGTCTCCTTGAGGAAGAAGCATCACAACCAGGAGTTGATTGTCGTGCTCCTGTGTGTCAGGCACTGTGTTAGTTAATTTTTAGTGACCTGGCACAGTTGCCAATGACATTGTTGTAGCATTGAAGCTGTGATAAATATAAAAAAGCCTACTATTTGGTACATACTAGCCCCTCAATATTTTTTAAGAATAGTATTTGAAAATTAACCCTCTATTCTTAGAGAATAATTTAAGATGAAATATTCATAGACATTTCATTTTAAGATCTAATGCGCAGGAACAACTGTGGAAGATATGAGAAGAACAAATGTCTCAGTTTATTGTCATTGTCCTTGGGAAACTGGAAATTGAGTTGTGAGGATTTTAAAGGAGGCCATTTAAAAAAAACACAATTAGATCTTCTTGGGACAATCAGTTTATTCTTTATAGTCATTCATTTTATCCAGCCTTCTTGATTCTAGATAAATTTTGATGATTTCTAAATGTAAAATCCATGATAAAGAATTTAGAAATTGATCTCCATCAAGGCTATTTAAAAGAATATAGCTCAAACTTTGAAATCAATCCAAGAGAAGCCTTTTACAATGTTTAAAACAAAGGCAGTATCACTGGAATAATGGAGAGCTCAACAAACTCTCGAAGTGACTAACTTTATTTTGGGTGTATTTTTTCTGAAATGTTTTTAAAAAGCTGTTGCTTTAAATTAGGTTGTATAAATAAATACCTGCTGGCTATAAATAAATTTTGGAGTTCAGTATACCTTAATTAAAGTATCAAATTAATTTTTTTCCTAATAGAGCTTAGTGTTGAGTCATTACAAATTGCGGCAAACTAACTGGATTTTTTTCATTTTGCTATTTAGATTACGCTTTAGGAGAAAGAAAACATGTCTTTTACTCATATCATCCCATTTCAGTGTTGCTATCATAAAGGTTTCTATCTAGAACCTAGTATCTTAGATATTGTTTTTGATGACCTTTTATAAAATCAGCCTATAGTAACTTGGTCTCCTAAAGGAAGTTGACTTGGACTGTCATCTAGGGATAGTTATTAAAGAATTCTGTACCTATAAAGTTAACCAAGATTTAGTAGTAAATTTTGTGTTAGAATCTCCATCATCCAGCCATATATGTTTGGGTCTAAAATCTCCCTAAAGTTGATATTAATGAGAAATTTGGGTGACATAGTCTGAATATATCCACTCAGAAAAAACTCCTTTATTGGAAAGTGCTATTTGAAGTAAGCAAATAGAAGCTTACATCTCTAATTCCCAGCATTAGTGATCTTATTCACCTTGGGACAGCTTCAGAGAGTTTGTTAATATGAAATTCCAGCAAGCACTCATGTTTGGGGGTTTTTCCAGTCCCAAAGTAGAGGCCAAATTCACTTTGCCACTTATTAGAAGAGGTTGTATCCTCTTCACTTGAACTTATAGATCAATTTAGTTAAAGTCAATAGACTGGAAGAATAAGAGTAGGTTATGTTCATTGAAGACTTGGAAACCAAGTCTGGACAAGGGATGGTAAATCAGGTGCATGGGTTAGAACTATCAGTTGAGTGTACGTTCATGTGCCACCCTTGCCCTGTTTCTATACCATCTCCAGCAGGTTTGTATGAGACTTTACATTTGAGATCAATTGTACAATATATTGGGGATTTGGAATCTTGGAGTCTCCAAGTATAGACAAGTCTTTTAATTTTTCTGAATCTGTCTGATTTTGCCATTGTAAAACAGGCATGAAAATTACCTACTCACAGGTTATTTTATGAATCAAGTGAAGTAAAGTAAGATTAGTACTACTAATAAATAATATTCATAGTTTGTGTTTATTGAGAACTTCCTGTATTCTAGGCACTAGTCTAACGATTTCACCTGTACTCATTTAATCCTCCCCTAAATCCTATTATATATATTTTTATGGTTAAGGAAACTGAGACAGTATACGGAAGCTCTTTGAAAACTCTAACATACATTAAACAAATACTATTAAATAAATGTTAGATATTATTATTTTAACAGACTTTTTTTTTTTCCAGAGAAGTTTTAGGTTCACAGGAAAATTGAGCAGAAGGTACAGAGAGTTCCCATATACCCACTGCCCGGCCACATACACAACCTTCCCCCTATTATCAACATTCACCAGCAGAGTGGTACATTTGTTATAGTCAATGAACCTACATTAACACATCATCATCACTTGAAATCCATAGTTTACATTAGGGTTCACGCTTGGTATTGAACATTCTGTGGGTTTGGACAAATGTGTAATGGATGACATGTATTCACCATTATATTAATAGTATCATACAGAATAGTTTTACTGCCCTAAAAATCCTCAATCCCTCTAACCCTTGGCAACCACTGATCTTTTTACTGTCTCCATAGTTTTTCCTTTTCTAGAATGTCATATACTTGGAATTACATAGTATGTAACCTTTTTCAGAGTGGCTTCTTTCACTTAGTAATATGCACTTAAGTCTCCTTCATGTCTTTTCATGGCTTCATAGCTCATTTCTTTTTTGCTCTGAATAATATTCCATTGTCTGGATGTGCCACACTTTATCTGTCCATTCACCTACTGAAAGATATCTTGGTTGCTTCTGGGTTTTGACAATTATGAATAAAGCTGCTATAAACATTTTGTGCAGGTTTTTGTATGGACATAAATTTTCAACTCTTTGGGGGAAATACCAAGGAGTGTGATTGCTAGATTATATGTCAAGAGTTTCTTACAAGAGTTTTATAAGAAACCTCCAAATTGTCTTCCAGTGTATCTGTACCATCTTGCATTCCCACCAGTAATGAATGAGAATTTCTCTTGTACCACATCCTCACTAGCATTTGGTGTGGTCAGTGTTCTGGATTTTGGCCATTTTAATAGGTATATGGCGATATCTCATTGTTTTAATTTTTATTTCCCTGATGACATGATGTGGAGCATCTTTTCATATGCTTTTTGACATCTGTATATCTTTTGAGGGGAGGTATCTGTTCAGGCTTTGGCCCATTTTAAAATAAGATTATGTTCTTATTATTGAGTTTTAAGAGTTCTTTGTATATTTTAGATAACAGTCCTTTATCTGACATGTCTTTTGCAAATCTTTTCTCCCAGTCTGTAGCTTGTCTTTCGTTCTCTTGATAGTGTCTTTTGTAGAGTAGAAGTTTTATTTATTTATTTATTTATAAGATGGTAAGACAGACTTTATTCAAAGGGAGCCATGGAGATAGGTACAGGGGCCGCTGCAATGGGTTCTTGTAGCATGGGAGAGAGGTTGGATTCAACTCTCAGAAGTTTTAAATTTTAGCAAAGTTGGGCTTGTCAGTTATTTCTTTTATGGATCATGACTTTAGTGTTGCATTTAAAAAGTCGTCACGATACCCAAGGTCACATGAATGTCCAGTTGTTCCAAAACTATTTGTTGAAAAGACTATTTTTGCTCCATTTCATTGTCTTCGCTCATTTTTTCAAAGATCAGTTGATTATATTTATGCAGGCCAATTTCTGGACACTCTATTCTGTTCCATTGATCTATTTGTCTATTCTTTTGCCAATACCATACTCTCTTGATCACTATAGCTTTATGGTAAGTCTTGAAGTTGTATAGTGTCAATCCTCTAACTCTGTTCTTCTCCTTCAATATTGAGTTGGTTATTCTGGATCTTTTGTCTCTCCATATAAGCTTTAGAATCAGTTTATCAATATCCACAAAACAACTTGCTGAGATTTTGATTGGGATTGCTTTGAATCTATAGATCAAGTTGGGAAGAACTGACATCTTCAGTCTTCTTATTCATGGACCACTTGTTTAGTTCATCTTTGATATCTTTCATCAGAGTTTTATAGTTTTCCTTATATAGATCTTGCACATATTTTATTAGATTTCTAAGTATTTCATTATTTTGTATGTTAATGTAAATGGTATCGGGTTTTAAATTTCAAATTCTACTTGTCCATTGTTGGTATATAGGACAGCTATTGACTTTTTTGTATTAACCTTGTGTTCTGCAACCTTGCTGTAATCACTTAGTTCCAGGAGTTATAAGATATTAATTCTACCCATAGTATACTTTTCCCTATCAATTTTGACCTAAGTCCAGTAATACTAGCACCATTTCACAATCCAAATTTGTATATTGCTCCATTTGTATCAAAATTTTCTCTTTTGCCCTCTAAGGTGGTCTGAGGACACCATGACAGTCACGGTGGTGTATGATAACTCAGAGGCAACAGAGCTCTGTGCAGCTCAGCACCTCTACCTCAAGCCCATAGCAAAATTGATGATCAACGTATTACTCCCAGAGAGTCTAGAACCTGTGAGGCCCTTCTCTAACTGGGAAGTTCTTGACCAGCTGAAGAGCCTGATTTGCCCAGACCAGTTCACCACAGTTCGGCTCTCCAAGAGCACAAGGGACTTCATCCGATTTGAGGGTGAGGCTGAAAACCGAAGTTTGGTTCAGATCCTGAAGGCAAAGTTACATGGGAAGATCATCAAGCTAAATGGTTTGAAAACAGACTTAAAAGTAGTGGCCACAGATGCCCAGGGAGAGTGGGAACACTTCCCCAAGGAGAGAGAGGCCTCAGTGAGTGATGAGGCCGAAGAGCAGAACCATGATAAGAGCCCGGATTCTATATATTTTGAAGGCTTGCCTTGTAAATGGTTTGCACCTAAAGGCTCTAGTGGGGAGAAGCCATGTGAAGAGATCCTTCGGGTAGTTTTTGAAAGCTTTGGGAAGATCAAGAACGTGGATATCCCTATGCTTGACCCCTACAGAGAAGTGATGACTGGTGGGAGCTTTGGGGGTTTCAGCTTTGGCTTGCAGACATTCGAGGCCTTCATACAGTACCAAGAGTCAACTGACTTTGTAAAAGCCATGGAGTCCCTTCGAGGAATGAAGCTGATGCTTAAAGGAGATGATGGGAAAGCTCTGGCATGTAACATTAAGGTAAAAAGTAAGAGTTTCTTTTATTTTCCACTGTTCAGGTGATCCTGAGTAAAAGCTGGAAGGAAGCATTTTTTTTTTTTTTTTTTTTGAGACAGAGTCTCGCTTTGTTGCCCAGGCTAGAGTGAGTGCCGTGGCGTCAGCCTAGCTCACAGCAACCTCAAACTCCTGGGTTCAAGCAATCCTTCTGCCTCAGCCTCCTGAGTAGCTGGGACTACAGGCATGTGCCACCATGCCCGGCTAATTTTTTCTATATATATTAGTTGGCCAATTAATTTCTTTCTATTTATAGTAGAGATGGGGTCTCGCTCTTGCTCAGGCTGGTTTCGAACTCCTGACCTCGAGCAATCCGCCCGCCTTGGCCTCCCAGAGAGCTAGGATTACAGGCGTGAGCCACCGCGTCCGGCCCCATCTGTGTTTTTAAAGTGATGGTTGTTATAATCTGGGGCTCTGTCCCAACTTCTCAAGGGCATTAAAGGATTCGTCATGGCCCCTAATGGAATTACCTCATATGCTTATTATATTTGACAAGTTGCTGAGAAAGAGAGGAATACATACAGTTTGATACCACATGGAAAGCACTTTATTCTCTCTTTACTCCTGGGGTCACAACTTATATTTTCAGGATGTCTGTCAGGTAAACTGCTAAAACATAATCCTAAAAACTTGGATCTTTTTCTTTCAAAATCAGCTTGTCCATCCAGTCATGTCACCTCATTGATGTCTGTATGCTCGGGTTACCTCCCTCTTGAAGTCTTAACGCAGCAGTGGAAAAGATGTGACTAAGCCCTCCTTTTTCTCTAAATCAGTCTGTATAAGTGTGTGTGTGCATGCATGCATATGTATATGTATATCTATAGCTACTTATGTTAAAATGGATATATTTAAATTATGAGCTATTCAGTCAGACAAAAGATATAGCAAATATTATAATGACCACCCATATACCACCACTCAGCTTAAAAATGAAACATTACCAGTAAATGAGAGACCACTCCCTCTGCATGTACCTATCTTCAATCACATTACCCTCCCTCACATGAAAGCTAACCATGATCATAAATTTGTGGTTTACCATTGTTATACATATGGAAGTAGCTACTTCTGCCTCCTTTTATTTTTTAAGAAAATCTATTTTGTAGTGCCTCAATTTGACTTTCACTGTATCTCAAGATTTTAAAAGTAGTTTAATAACCACAATAGTAAGATATTATATCTCATTAGGTCAGTTTTCTTGTATTTTTGCCCCCCCCCAACACACATTTTTTGACCATTTCTGTCTCTAGTGACTAAAAAAATACATTAACTCAATTGATCTTTATAACAAACCTAAGGTAATATACTCACATTTCTCAGCGTATGAGAAATGGCACTGTGATGCTATGACCATATGTAAAGTAAGCTCCTCAAGGGTTTAAAAAATAGCTTTATTGAAGTATGATTGACAAATAAAATTGTATAAAGTTAAGGTGATGATTTGATATACTTATTCAAAAGTTCTGCCATAGAAAATCCCAGAGCCCACAAACACTATTCAGCTAGCAGCTAAGAAGCAGTGAAACAGCATGGCTACCAGGATGCAGAGAGCACATTTTGAATTCATTTGATTTTGAATTAACTTGTGCCATCTGAGTTTTATCTGTTTGGCTTGGGACATAAACCAGCTGGCTAGAAAACTCTTCTAATGAAATTTTGAATTGTTTTGGGGCAGGTTATGTTTGATACAACTAAACACTTCAGTGAAGGAGCTATAAGGAGAAGAAATCAGGAAAGGCTAAAATTACAAGAATTGGAAGAAGAAAGGAAAAAGGAAAAGAAAAGAGAAGAGGAAGTGGCTGAAAGGTATGTAGACCAACTTTAGTGAAGAAAGTATTTTTTTTTCCTTTTGATTTATGGATTAATGCCTTTGGGTGAATGGCTAGACTTGATAGATAACATTGGGGTGAGGGACAGGAATTGGCTCAGATTGGAAAACTCCACTGAAGGCTATAGTCTTTCTACTGTGCTGTTACAAAACCAAAATGACTAACAGTTGAAAACAAGAGACTTCAAATATTATGTTTGTCTAGCCTGGCGTCATGGCACGCGCCTATTGTCTGAGCTACTCAGGAGGCCGAGGCAGGAGAATCACTTGAGCCCAGGAATTTGAAGCTGCAGCGAGCTATGATCATGCTACTGTGCTCTAGCCTGGGTGACAGAGGGAGACAATAAAACATATATGTCAGGGGGAACAAATACTGAGGAATAATGGAACTAAACAGATTAAGATGTCTGGAAAGAAATAATTTTTTTTTTTAAAGAAAAGGACCAGGAACTTTTATACTAAAAACCATAGCCTACCAAATTAAAAATTTTACCAATTTACCTAAAATTTGCCAATATTACCTAGTGTACCAATTTAAAAGTTTAAAAAATTAGGTCTGGAAAAGAGCATGTTCTATAAAATAGTCAATAATCAAACTAACCCATAGGCAAGAAGGCATGGATTTGTTGGGACCATTTTTCTCGTTCACTTAAATTCTTTGTAAATGTAAGGAGCCTCCATATTTATTTCTTTGAGCTTACCATTGTTTTCCAATTTAGGGTTTCAGGCCTAGAAGGGGCTATTGGATTGCCTAAAGTTTGCCAGGAAAGTACAGATGGGCTAGAACTATGGGGCTCTGAAAACCAATTTTACCTCTTGGCCCCACCACATGCATATTTATTCTTCCAATCTTTCATGTAAGTTGTAGCTATTCAAAAAATGGGATAAAGAGTATCCTTCCATGTGCCTCTCCCTTTTTTGGCTGGTGGGATGATAGGAGTTAACTTGAGGAAATTTGGGAAATTTGGCCAGAGCTTGAGCCCAATAAAGAAACTATTCCCCTCAAAATTCTAGGCTCAACATCCAATTTAGATCATCTTCTGGGTTTTGGCTAAGTTCTGACTCTGATAATTGTCCCTTATTTCCCCTTCCCCATGTTTCCATAAGGGCCTAACTGAAATAGTTTTACTTTTCCGAAAATAGCTGTAAAAAATGCCCATATTTTTATAAGCCAGTATGTTTTTCTGATGGTATGCTGTGTTATTATATGCCAAAGACCGGTTCTCACCCTGAAGATTTTCTTAGTGCCTTGACTCATCTTTATTTGCTTGTGTGAAACCAACTCACAGAAGGTTTTGTTCACATGAAAAATGGGTCATCACTGTGAAAGCTGGATCCTGTAGTCCCTGCCAGTGGTTTGATAAAATGAGGGCTAGAGGCCCCTCCTTTGAATTCTGTAGGCTTCTTTTTTTGCTGCTATATCTCTGCATGAGGTCTCCTTCACATGCTTCTGTCTGACTAACGAAATGATGTGTCTTTCTCCCTTGACTGATGCTTAACAGTGTTGTTGTTTTATCATACGTTGCCTATGCCAGGCCCTGGGGTTAGCAGTGGTAGATTCCTGGAAAGTAGCTGATCTGTCTTCCCCTGGTAGGGGGAAGGAGCGAGGAGATCCAATGCCTAATAAATACCTTCTGAATAGTTTCATCTTAATCATTGTCCAGAAGAAGAAAAGACGAGGAGAGGAAGGCCCAGGAAAAGAGGAAGAAGGCCAGGGTCAGGAAGCGAGCGCTGAAGGAAAGGGACAGACACCGGCAAAGGAAACCGAAGGACAAAGCCAAAACTGAGGAACCACGTGAGCCGGACTCTTCAGAGGAGTGGGAGGAGCGGAAGTACCTGCTGGCTCAGAGGCGGGTTGAGGCCCTTCGCTTGCTACGGGTACTCCTGAGGAAAATTTCAGTAAGGCTATTTCCCTATTGTTCTTCCGTTTGGGTAGGTACTAACCTTTCTGAAACATTACCTTTGCATTTAAGCAGGAGCCTACTGCAAATTGACTCCATGGAAGACTCATATCCATTTTTTTTTTTTTTTAAACAGGCTTTTCTCTGTCAACCCCAAAAGTGGATTTACAAAAGGGATAGCCATGTTCTTTAAAGGAATTGTGTCCCAACTCCACCATCCAACACACACACTTTATATTTCTAAACTTCAGGATGGGAGTCCCCAGAGCAATTTAGGTAGTTTATCTATTTTTCCAAGTTCCTAATGGATATAACAACAACAACAACAACAAAAAAAAAATGCTAGGGGAAAGCAGTGGATGCTGTTGGTGTTATGTTTGTAGTCCTCTACTAACTTTACTTGTCCATTCATCTGCAACAGGTTTCGATGAGAAGGAAGAGCCTTGAGCCTTGTAGCAAACTCATGTTAGTCTAGTCTTAAACTATTTGATAAGGAATTTCTCACCTCAAGGAACAATTGTTTTATTTGCAGAGTTTCAGTTCTGGAAGGTGTTTCTTCTTTCTGAGTATATAAGGATTGCCAGAGTCAGCAGAAGTCCCAGATTAAAAACCAGAAAGGCTCCCAATTTAAAAATCCATATTCAGTGTTTTTAAATATGAATAATAAATGCCATTAAGATTAAACAGAGTTAATTTTATGTATATTTGCAGTCTTGACCTCTTTCTCATTAGTGTAGACTATCAAACTTAGTGAAATCAGGATCAGAAAAATCTCACATTTATTTACATTTATAATAAGGCTAGCTGGATCTTTTTTAGTTTACTGTAATAACTGCCACGGGTGACTCCTCCTAAAGAATTTCTCTTCAATGTGTGTGGTGTCTGATTCTTGGCCCCATTAATACTTATACTGATTATGCAGTCCCCAAGTTCCAATCCCAGGTAATGGGTAGGCACTGTGCTCTGGTGTGTGTCAGGTGGCAGTGGGTACACAGCACAAACCCTCCCGCCTGTAGGCTGCCCCTTTTACCTGCTCTGTGGTTGTGCAGAGCAAAATAGCACCATGTACGCAACTGCAGATAGAACCATGGTCACGGCCACATTTGCTACTTGTTGTCTTGAATTTTTTCTGAGTGAGGACAAGGCAGAGCAACCCAGAGGCACCCTCACCTGCAATCCATAGTAAGAGACTGGTATAAGAAACAGAAAGGCAGTTTATCTTTTAAGCCAGTTGACCCTTTTAGGTATACATTTCATCCCTCAGTCTTTTCTTGTGCTAGGATTTTTTGGAAGGGCTACAGAGAGCAGTTCTTATTTCTCATTGTATCTCTAGCTCCTAGCACAATACCTGGAACAGTGGGCTCATCAGTCTTTGAACAAATAATAAAAAAAGAATCATATGCTTTGAAGGCTATGTAAAGTGTGGTGCCTTCAGGCCTAAGCATCAGCACAGACCTAGTAAAAGCAGCTCATATTAGATTAAGACATTTAATTTTGTACCTTCTATTTCCTCAGTGCAATATTATTCCCAATTTGGATCTATCCCAGGTGTTAGAAGTCTCTTCAGAACAATGTCAGAAAGCCCAATTTTCTTTGGAATATTTTAATGTTTAGTTTTTCATGTGAGATTTTTAACCTTTTTCTTTGAAGGGATCCAGTCAGTTTAACCCACAGGAGGTCGACGTTACAAGCCCCAAAGCTACTCATGCTCCAGGAAACACATTGGGAACTCTGGAGGAAGAAGAGTTAAACACTCAGCACCTTCAAAATCAAGAGGAAATGCCAAAAGATCAGGTTGCCAAGTCAGACAATAAAAGGAAACAAAAAATGAAGAAAAGAACAGGGGCTCACTTACATAAATCTTCCCACCGCCTTGGGAAAAAAAAATTAAGATACTCAACTAGAAAAGAGAGAACTGGAGAATTACTAACTGACAGATACAACCACAGTTTGGGTTTTGACCAGAATCCCTTGCAGATTGCAGTGATTCAAGGTCCAACTCTTGAGAAAGAAGACAACCACAGTTCTAATAAATCCTACTCTTCTACATTACCTGAGAGAGACCATGGAAGGAAACATAAGATCTATGAAACAGATGAATTTATTGACTATCTATTAAACTATTATCAAACTCCAAGATATGCCCGTATCTATCTAGAACCAAGTCACGTAATAGGCAAGTGTCAGTGGCAGAGGGATGTCCATGCTAAAGGAAATGGATTTCAGATTAATTTGAGAAAGCGCAGGCATCACTCAACCAATTTGAGCCAAATGCAAAACCTGGAAAGGAGAGAACAAGTTGAAGAAGATGATTATTGGTCAGAGATTTGTACTCAGGATCCTGAGCATAAACCACAAAAGAGGGTAAAAGTGGATTATGCCAACGAATGTACTAGTGGACTTAAAAACCATTGGAAGGATATAGCCAGTAAAGCTGGTGATCAGCTGTCCCCAGCTGATGGAAATACCCATCAGTTAGAAAAGTCTCACACTTACCATATCGAAGATTCCAAATCCACAAGGAAAAGCCAAGTATCTTCACCCTATAGGTCAGTAGGCTTAGATTTGCAGTTGACAGATTTCTTAGAGGAAATTAGTAGTGATTCTGAATGCTTCAGTGAAACCCTTAGTGTAAACAAAGAGGAGAAAGAGAGATCTGTGGCCACATATCACAGCTCCTCAGAAAAAGGACCTCTTGACCCTGATGAAATCATCACTTGTGAACAAGAACCTAGGTCAAGTCAGCAGACCTTGTATTCAGAGTGGAAACATGATGGTGAAGAAAACTACTCTAAATGCAAGCTTAGGACACCAAGCAAGAGGTCTAAGTATGAACTGAAATGTTCATGGCTTGAGGGTGAAAGCAATTTCATTAGAGATGAAAAGAACAGCAGCAAAAAGAGGGGAAAACTATCCCCCAAATACTTGTTTGATGAAGGATACTACCACGAATCCAGTTCCAGTAATCTATTAGAGAACATCACAAGAAAGAAGAGGAGGTTTAGTGGTAATACATTTGACCAGAAAGTGAACTATAAACCCTCTCATGTGCCAGTAACATCATTAAAAAGTGCTAACGCTTTCTATTTGGGTGATTTTCCCAAAAGAAGAGAGACTCTTTGGAAGTCAGAATGTAAACAGGATGCAAGAAAGTATAAAAGGCATGAGAATTCTAAAGATTTCATGCTCAATCCTGATAATTATTATATTAGACATAACAGTCAAGAGCACGTTGACTATGAAAGCTATTTAGGAAACAACTACACTAGTTCTTTATGTTTTCAAATGTTTTGATGGCCACTTAGATCAGGAACACCCTTATTTATAATAAACATGATGCAAGAAGAAAAGTTAAAACCAAACATAGCTATGTAGTTAGCAACTACAGAGCAAGAGAGCAGCATTTAAAAGCCTGAGCAGAGTCAAATACAAAACCTTGTTTCTCTTGCCAGAGTTTAAAGCATAGATCAAAATGACTGCAGGTGTGTTGGCAAGCTTTGGAAACATAAAACATCCAGATGCTGAAGCTTGGTAAAACAATGCTTGCAAAGCTTCTTGATCTAAGGACAGACATTTTTACAGTTCAACTGCAACTTTAATTTGGTGCCAGTGAAGGAGCAGATTAACATTGAGAGGGGTTTGATAGCCCCTCTATGGCTCCTTAGCTGTCATAACATCATTTAGTATCATGTAGCTTCAAAGAGGACAACAGTGAACGAATAAGGATCCTTTTACATGTTCTTTGATTTGGTCCGAAACACCATGTGCAGCAACAAACTTCCCTGAGTTTTATTTAGAAATAATTATAGATAAAAGAAGAGAGATGACAGCTAGGACATATAAATGGACTTCTTCATGACATTAAAGAGCACCCACCAGGAGGAAATTAATCTTATTACTATGTTGATAGTACTCAAAGAGTTGTCTTTTTAGAGACAAAGTCTTGGAAGAAGAATCTAAAAGTGGCTCTGATTGTCCTTTGAGGTTTAAATGGAGAGGGGACCATTAAGCAGAGGTTTTTTTTTTTTTTTAACCTATGTCTTTCCATTCTAGAAAAGCAGCAGGATTGAAGTGATATAAGAAGTGGGGTTTGCAAATGAAATATTGAAAAGATCCTGGGGCACCAACAATGGCACTTGGGAAGAAAGGACATGACAGTATTCCATTTTAGGTTATGTAATCCTTTCACTCAGGGTCGGATGACATCAGTTTGTAAAAAGTCACTGAATATTTCCAAACCGACTTTTAATAAAACAGTAACAAGTGCCTCCTCAACCCTCAATTAATGCCATGGAGTTAGGAAGAGTCAAGGGGAAAGTGTGTAGTTTTCTAGCTGGGGAAAAATTGTATGTTGTGTAGGATTTGTAAACTCTTAACATACGCAATTTATCTTTTTACCTACTGGTTTTGGACTTCTTAAATGTTTTTAAATTGAGATATTTTATAGATTCTTAAAAGACTTCCATCTTAGTGCAAGTGCATGTTCTATAGAAAGCTCGGCTGATTCATTCTGCCTTACATTGGATTTAGGACCTCAGGGGCAGTAGATTACTTTTTTTCCCCCCAACAAAGCTATACCTGACCTGGCAATTGAAGACACCAATGACATTAGAGACTGCCTGCAACAGGAAAGGGTGGCTTTTAATCCACAGAAGCAGTGGAAGGGCAACATTTTCATATGACATGATCCATTTCAAACAGTCTTCATTTGATATTCTGTAGAAAAGTGCCAACTGGTAGAGCCAGGTAGAATGCCAGCTGCCAGTCATGGTGGCTGCCCAGAATGATGCAGCATGGATGTGCGCTCGTTATCAGCCTCTTAGCAACCTGGTATCTGCAGGAGCTACAAAAAAATCTCACTTATCTGAAGAGCCCCAAGTTGCTTTGTTGATCTCTTCTAATCACATTTTAATAGAGCTATGTTAGTACATGCAAGAATTCAGAAATGAATGTAACATAGCAGATCATGTTTATTATCAACAAGGTGATAACCAAGGAATGATTTGTTGGCTCTCTTGTGTTCAATTCCACTTTCAAGCCAGTAACTCTACCATCAAAATGACGTTTGGCTTGTCAGATCTGAAAAAAATCGCTCATGGGCGAGTGCCTTCTCTCCTAAGGACTAGCAATGACTATTAATGTTCAAAGTACTGTTGTCCAGAATAGCCTTTTAAACTACGAATAGCTTGTATTTTGTCAGACAACTTTCAGTAATTAGGTATTATTCTCTTCCAATGAAAACCTGACTCCTTATTTTTTCGTTTCTTGCCACTAAAACAAAGAACATGGGTTTGTAATGGAAAGCAGCTATGCTTGTTTTGAAAAAAATCTCACTTCCTTCTGTCATTTGATAATTTTTCTTTGCAGAGTTTTAAGGCATGGAAACAATTTGCTGCTCAGTAATCAGACATAAAAAATAAATTGCAGAATACAGCATGTGCAGATTTTTTGTATCATAGAACTGGTGCTAAGTCATTTCTATATAACATTTTTGTCTTGTTTTGTTTGTTTGCAAAATACTGTCCTGAGACCTAGAAGAAAGTAAAAATACTGGTTTTATGTTTACTTTCTGTACAACCCTGGATTTTTATATGTCTTGTGATAGATAATGCATTCTAGATTTGAGTCAACCTTTTATGTGTGTAGGCCTTAAATGAGGAAGAGAACAACTTATCCTGTACTTTTCAAGTGAATGGCTTAGTAAGGAATGAAATAGAACTGAAAATATCATAACCACCTTAATTAACATTGTTATTCTTTGTTGTGCTGTTATTTAAGTGGTGCAAAAGTTTTTGCTCCTATCTTTTTTCTATGTCCTATTAAGTAAGGGCCTGAACTTTAAACTTTGTCTTTTTAAATAGGTGTTTTCATGTTTTTCTTTGTATGTGCTGCTGATGGTGCTGTAAGAAAGCTAAAAATCTGTCAATGTATTTCTGTTCAATTTGTTTGAATTTCTCAGGTAGAAAGCCATGTAACCAGGTAATTTTGAAAATAAGAACCAAATAAATGTATTTTTATTTGTTGCAAAATATTGAAAAATATTGCAAAACTGTTGAAAATATTAAGTTTTAAATAAATGCTGATAATTCCACTTTGGCAGGGTGAGGGGTGAGTTTCTACCTGTAGTAACCAGTAGTATGCTGCTTTGCACTAATGTTGCTGGTCTTTTTTCTCATTTGCATTGTTAGAGAAATAATACATATTTAATTTTCAGATATATTAAAAATAAAATTGTCATAGTGAATATTGAGTCTTTGTTTATTTACCACATGTATTGGTGAAAATGTTGCACATCCATGACATTTTCTATAGAAATACAGATGTCTAATTTTAATATCCTTTCTATGCAGCTTTTCCCTTTATGATGTTTATGATGCTAGTTTGTGGGAAGTGACTCTGTCAGATCTCCTGGAATTGAAGACCAGAGTTTTATTTTCATTTTGGATAAACTGAAATCATGATATTAAGATTTAAGATTATCCTTCCTTCAGCATGTTTTATCAGTGCTAATAAAAGGTAGCAAAATTGACTCCATGGAATTGTATCTCATCCCTTTAGCACTGGGTGGAAGTGTTCAAGTTATACAATATCCAAAAATAATTGTGGGTGTGGGATGAGAAGTCTGGTCAGAGAAGTTAGGGGCTTCAATAATCAATCTTTGACCATTCAAGAATTACCTATATTTTAACTGTATTTTCACATGAAATATACAGCAAACTGCCTCTAAGTGTTACATAACAAAGGCAGACTATACCTTAGAGTAAAATCTGGGCACTTTAGAGCTGAGGTCTTTGTTGGGTTCAAAGAGCTCTTTCTGAAACACAAAGGAATATACAATGCTTGTTCTGGATCTAGGATTTACATAAATTTGGCCCTCTGAGGTAAGGGGAATGTTGGGTTATGCAGAGAAGCCAGATATGCACATACCGAACATGTAGTGAATGCTGCTTGTGAACCACAGATGCTGGTACTGAAAACAAGTGTCTCTGTAGCTGGTTGGATGACAGCAGGTGGAGAGCAAACAGATGTTAACCTGACACCTCCCTCCTCCCCCACTGGACATGTGGTGGCTGTAATAACCACTCCTCATCTTGAATGCACCTTTTACATAATATGGCTTATGTATATTCTAGCTGGATTTGAGAAGTTTTTAGATCAAGTTTTTAGTCCTGCTTTATAGTAATATCCCTTTACATGTAATCAACACAATGTTGACTCAGCTCTGAATGGAGAATCAGGCTATTGGAAGTGAAGCTTTGGGGAGGCTCTGCATGTTTTCCTCTTGGCCTCAGACAAGTCTGTTTAACTTTGTGAAAGGACTAGCCTGATCTTCAAATCTAAAGGAGATTTCAGGCTGCAAAGGTGGCTCAACTTCTCTCTACCGCTTACTCAAAGCGTAAGGTGTAACAGGTCACTGGACACAATAGGCACTGGAATATTTGGTGAATGAAACCTAGTGGAGAAAAAGAACACATTAAAAGCACCACATGGGCCTGGCATGGTGGCTCATGCCTGTAATCCTAGCACTCTGGGAGGCCGAGGCGGGCGGATTGCTCGAGGTCAGGAGTTCGAAACCAGCCTGAGCAAGAGTGAGACCCTGTCTCTACTATAAATAGAAAGAAATTAATTGGCCAACTAATATATATAGAAAAAATTAGCCAGGATGGTGGCACATGCCTGTAGTCCCAGCTACTCAGGAGGCTGAGGCAGGAGGATTGCTTGAGCCCAGGAGTTTGAGGTTGCTGCATGGCACTCACTCTAGCCTAGGCAACAAAGTAAGACTCTGTCTCCCCCCCCCAAAAAAAAAGGCACCAAATGTACTCACTGTCAAATTGGTATTAACTGATCAACACTTATGTGCACATATACTAGTAACATTCATCGGGTGTTGGGCAGGTGGGAGGGCCAAGGAGGGGAAGGATATATATACACATAATGGGTGCAGTGTGCAGCATCTGTGGGATGGACACACTTGAAGCTCTGACTTGGGTGGGCAAAGGCAATATATATAACCTGAACATTTGTACCCCCGTATGTTGAAATAAAAAAAAATTTTAAATGCAAATATATTCGATGCAATTTGATAACATGAAAAATGAAAACCTATGACCTAAGAGTACATCTCTTGTAAGAAAACTATCAACATTAAAATGACAAAACATGTTTATACAACTGCCTATGCAAATCTATTATCCTTCTATTGACATGAGATGAATTATCTCTTGCTACTATGAGGATTCCTAATACTTTCCTGATCAGACAACACATTAAGATAAAAACAACAAAACCCTTCCTTAGCATTTGGTAATGACAATGCCTTCACAGTGACATTGCCCTTTAATAACCTTGCTATAGACTTTAGGGTAGAGGGCCTGCCTTTTACAATTTAGAATGTTCTGACTTGGGCAGAATTTGACAAATACAAAAAGGTAATTCAAGTCACTATTTCTTAACAGGACAACCTGGTATTTTGTTTGTGGTGTGACGTATCTATGAAGTTTTGCCCCTTATTTCCTTTGGAATACAAAAAGTCTACACCCAAAAGTGAAACTGAATTTTAAGCTACAATAAAATAAGTCTGATTCCTTAGAATAAAGGTTTTAAAAAATTAAAACAAGCCACCACACTATACTGGGTAAAACCATTTTATTAACTGACCAAAGCACTTCATTTTGTTTTCTGATTTGAGGTAAAACCATTAAACACAGTTCACAAGAAAATACAATGACTATTTAACTACAAGAATTTGAAACCTCACTAGTTGTTCATGTAATACTTTTACAAATTCATACAACTGTATAGTCTACTTAAGCTTAGTGTTAACCAAAAGAGCAATATCAAAGACCTAGACAATTGACTACTACTTTCGCAGTGGCTATAGTTTTGTAACAACATAATAAGTGTTACCTTACGAATATGCTTTACTTTAAAAACCACTTGGCTAGTGATGTGTATTGTTTCCTCATTGCTCAGGGGTGTATATGAAGGCCCGTAAGAGAGCAGACACCTGTTCCTGTCTGTTTGCCCCTCTCTCAGTTCAAACGTGTAAAATAATGAAATAACCATTGCCCTGCCACAAACATGGGGGTTGGGAAGATAGTCCTACAATCTTCTCCATATATTTCAGTTTGTAGGCAAGCCGGCTGGCTTTTTATAAAGCTTCCTTTTGAATGTTTAGATCCTGTTTTAATCCAAACTGTAGTTTACTATGTGAGGGTGTCTGAGTGTCCATGTGCAAGCAAGGACAACAAAGCAGTCTAGAAACACAGTATATTTTTTTCCAGCTGAGTCCAGCTTTGAGATTTCATTTTGTTACTGGACAGCTCTCTTTAATCAATATCAAAGCCTTTGGAACACTGCAGATTTGCTTTAGAGGTAGATAAAACAGAAATCATGCAGTTAAGTCAATTGAGGAAAAAAAGGGATTTGCTGTCTTGAGAGAACATCATGACTAATAGTTGATCCTTTGTTCTTGGTGCACATCTAACGTTTTTACCTGTTCCAGGAAATATCCAAGTCTTACCTGTCTCTCAGGAAACACACATTTAATTCAGCCTGTACTAACTACAGACAGAAGAAAAACAGTATTAACATTTACATTACAGCACTGCAGTTCACTTTCTGGATTTGTGACACACAAACATATCATGCATTCTAAGACAGAAGTTAATTTTATCAGTGTCACTAGTGATGTTAATTAAAAAATTTACAGCAAGTTCAAAACTTTTCTAAATATTGAAATCACCATGTTTTAAAGACAGACTGGAATGTTACAAATGATTCTGCAAGATACAAAAATAGATATGCTTCCACTGAATGCTTTAATCATTTTTCCGAGCATTCTCATCTTTTGGTTCTTCCTCATCCGAATACACAGTGGGCTCCTCACCCTCCTTCAGCAGTTTGCCCACATGATGATACTTGACTGGAGGTAGAGAAAAAAAACCACAAATGGTCATTCTCATGCCTTCTAAAATAATCACTACCACATCTCATCTGAAAGCATTTATTAGAGGCCTACAATATATTCAGCAATGTGTTAGGCTCCTTGAAGGATACAAATGTGGTTTATACCACAGTCCTTGCCAATAGGAAATTAGAGCTTTATTCAGAAGGCAGAAGCATAAAAAAGGTAGCAATGTCTGGCAATGCACGTGCAAGGTAATCTCAAAATGAATTATGGGGCTGGGGCATGGTGGGTCATGTTGCTAGCACTTTAGGATTGCTTGAGGCCAGGAGTTCAAAACCAGCCTAGGCAACACAATAAGATCCTATCTCTACTAAAAAAAAAAAAAATAAGAAGAAGAAGAAAAAAGAAAAATTAGTCAGGCGTGGTGGTACACGCCTGTAGTCCCAGCTACTCGGGAGGCAGTGAGCGAAGACTGCACCACACATGCCAGCCTAGGTGACTGAGCAAGCCCTTGTCTCTAAAAACAACAAAAAAAGAATTGTGTTTTCATGTAGACAGTGTTTAGAAGAGCAAGGACATGTAATGAGTTAGTTAGAAAGGTTGCAGAACACTTCATGGAAGAAGGATATGTTTTGGAAAAAATATATAGAAGGATTTGGGGAAGGAGGGATTTCCGGAAAACGAAAACACCACGTACAATTGCATATGAAACTGAACATATCTGAGAAGCAATAAAGAAACCAAGTTGGCAGAGGCAGAGTAGGCATCTGGAAGTAGAAGGAGATAAGGTTGGCTAAGTTAGTGTGGGGAAATATTATGAAAGATCTGAAAAGCCAGCCTGAGGAGTTTGGACTTATCCTATATGTGGCAAAGTGCACTGAAAATTTATCAGCAAAGGAAGGACAATGTAAAATACTGCTTTAGCAACAATATTATCAATGTGGTGTACAGGAGAGATTTCAGGAAGGAGAGACTAGAAGCAGGGCAACCAGGAGGCTACTATGCAGATCCAGGTGCAAAGGAACCACAGCTAGGAGTAGGGTGGTGTCCATGGGAATGGAAAGGAGAGGCTAAGAGATACTTTGAAAGCAAGCTAGAACATGAGTTAATGAAGTGAAAACTGGAGGTTCCATGGACCAAAATGGGGACTGTGTAGAGGAAATCCACAACAAGAAATGAATAAGTGAAGTTAGTATTGGCAAGAAAAAAAAAAAAAAGGTTTCCCTGAAACCTTTGAGAAGGAGTGTCCAATCCAATTATGGAGACAGAGCCATATTGTAGAGAGGAAGGAGGCATAGAGAAGAAATGAAGCAGTGGTTAGGGGCAAAAACAACTTAGAAGCTTGACAGTGAAGGGAAGGAATAATAGTCTAGTGGATGGAGAGGACAGAAGGAGACAGAAATTTTTTCCCCAACATGGAGAAAAATCTATGGGTAGTTAACACAAGTCAGGT